TCTCTCTCTCTCTCTCTCTCTCTCTCTCTCTCTCTCTCTCTCTCTCTCTCTCGCTCTCACACACACACTCACTCTCTCTCTGTCTTTTTCTCGCTCTCTCTCTCTCACACACACACACACACACACACTCACTCACACTCACACTCACACTCACACTCACACTCACTCACTCACTGTCTCTCTCTCTCTCTGTCTTTTTTCATCCATGGCAAATATCTATGGAAAATTCCAGCCTTATTATTGTGATTAATGTAAAATGTCAACCTTCTGTCCATCTGGAAAAATATCAGGATCTGTTTGTAGAATCTGGAGAGGATTTTTTTTAAAGGGAAATGTGGCAGAAAATAGGTGGAGAACGGGGAATCACACAAAAAGATAATTTGTCAACTTCAGAGACAAAGGAGTACAATGCAGGAGATATCTAGACCACCCTTCCATGTCAGCCTCGTGTCACAGTATGTAACAGATAACCTTATGTTTTACTTGTATGTGAGGAAAGAGAACGAGAGAGTTCAAATGACATAGGCCTATACGATTTCTTTATGTTTTTGAAAGACGATTGCCATGGCTGCAAAAATAAAAAAAAATAATAAAATAAAAAACAAGGTAAAACTGTAATATGAAATGTAGTTATAATTTAAAATAACTATTTTCTATGTAATACAGTATATTGTAAAATTTTATTTATTCTTGTGATGGCAAAGCTCAATTTTCAACGGCCATTACTTTCATTGTTTGAAATTAATCTATTATGAATTATTACAAATATCATCAATTTTGAAGTTGGGTTTGCCATTTGACAAAATGTCTTTTTTTAAATCATTTTATTTGATTAAGTAAGAGCGTCATCTTTACACCACATATAGTAGACGTTTTGACTTTGTGCCCCACAAAAGATATCAAAATGAAATGTGTCATGCATGTCTTCTCATCTATAAATGATTCCAGAATACATGATTTCCGGTCAATAATTGCTAAACGCATCAGACGCAGGCTGATTTCATGCACTGAGCTCATTCTGGCTCTCTGGAAGTGTGTGGGAGGATGAGCCCTCAGTTAAGTCAATAAAACGGAAAGCGCCAGAACAGATTTACCCAGAATATCCCACAACAATATTAGGCAATTTAATCTCATTTTAAATCCTGCTGGTGGTGCTGCATTTTATATTGTCACCTGTTTGGATGTTGACACATATTTTAATGGAAATAAAATGTCTATTCCTGTGAGTCTGACCTTGTTCCGGAGGGTCTGGAGGTGTTATAGGCCTAGACAAAAATACAGTTGATGAGGCTGGTGGCAAGGAGAATAAAAAAAGCCTTGACATCATCTAAACATGTCGGTAAATGCTTTTATTTTGTAGCATTTACTCTTAATCTACAATGCCTGTGTGTATTAGATTTGATTTTGTTTTATGATGATACTGTTCATGACTTTTATTTTGAAAAGTCTATTTAGACTTGGTCTATGGTCTATGAGAAAGCTGTCTGTTTGAATTTACATTTAATCTCAATGGCAGTTTATCATCTGACCCTGGAAATGCATTATTAGCAATCTGCCATTATGGATGCTCATTTTTGGACACAATTGTTTCAGGGCAAATGTTTGTTTTTGGTCCATTTAGTTGTGTTGTAAATGTTAGTTTTCAGTCAGGTATGATCTTTGTAATGTGGAGTGGTCTAGCCTTGTAGAGACATGTTTAATGTCCTGTGATTTATGATTAATGTCCTGTCACCCAAAAATGAATATTGTTATCATTTACTCACCCTCAAGTTGTTTCACACCTGTATGAGTTTCTTTTTTCTTTTAAACACAAAAGGAGATATTTTAAATCATGTTGGGAAACAAACAGCTGATGATCCCCATTGACTCACATTCTGTGCGGGAAAAAATACTACAGAAGACAATAGCTACTGTCATCTGTTTGGTTACCAACATTCTTGAAAATATCTTCTTTTGTGTTCAACAGAAGAAAAAAAATCATACAGGTTTGGAACAGCTTGAGATTGAGTAAATTATGACAACATTTTCACTACCCCTTCAACCTTTATGTTCTATTGGGGATCTGCAAGCCCTTTTAATAGCTCAGAAACATAATTTGCTTAATTTTATGAAATTTTCAAGAGTCAAATATTAGATTTCTTTCTTTCTTTCATTTTAGAAGTATTTGCCAGTATTCTGACCCATTTTTGTTTCTTTCTGTATTTCAACAAGTTGTCCAATCTGCGCAAATGAAAAGCAGTCCTACAGTATTACATGACCGGACGTCACCATAGGTAAGGAGTTTTTGAGGTGTGCCTCATTTCGTCTACATTTTCACAGCTATCCTTTAGAGAAGCTGAATAATAATTCCTGGAAAAGCTGGAAGTTATTTTAATGATTCACCGATAGAGGTCAACTATAAAAGAACAGCCAGGGTTCTCATTAGAGTAGTTGTTTTTTTAGCTGTATAAAGCCAGAGCTTGATGCGTGAGAGAGTTTTGTTAAGAATATATTCTTAAATATTTGTTAAGAATATTTTGTATTATACTACACTTCACAGAATGAAACTTGCATTGGATCAAGGGCAGAATAATTTCCCAGCAGTGTTTATAAATATGTGGTGAATATAGTGCCGACATCAGCTATTGTTGAGTCTCAAAAATAGTTTTTGCTAAGAGAAGAAATTAGCTCCTGTGTTATGTAAGTGCAGTGATTCATTTACTCACTCATGGTTACACTTCTAAACCTCAGATATTTTGGCTAACCTGACTTGATGTTTCCCCTAAACTCATTCTGGAATTTCAAATGTCGTGAATGATTTTTTGTGCCTATATGTGAGTTATCACCACATTCGTAGAATTCTAATTTCTCATTAACTAAAAACACTATAGTGACACACTTGTTCTTGTCTGTTTCCTTTTTGCCAACTTCCTGTCTCTATAGCTTAGCAATCCAGAGATATATTTCTGTAACAATGTGAGCTTATCGAACAAAAAATAGACAGTGATACCACATACAATGTAAGTTTGCTTTGCTTTGATTTAATTTCTTCCATATAAGGGAAAAAAGTAATACTTTGGTAAATCATATTTATAACAAAATCATAAGATACTAAGTAGGGATGTGCATCTCCATAACTGAGGCCAATGCGATACGCATCTCGGTGCAGATAGCCATTGATACGATACATTAAAGATACATCTGA